GGCTCTTATTTTTTATTCTAGAACTGGGCAACATTTCATTCCATAAAAGAGAGTATGTGTTCCCTATAATTCCAGTTTTTTGTTGTTGTTGTTTTGGTCTTTTTGAGACAGGGTGTCCCTATAACCCCAGCTGTCCTGGAACTCACTATATAGACCAGACTGGCCTTGAACTCACAGAGATCCGCCTGCCTCTGTCTCCCAAGTGCTGGGACTAAAGTAGTATGCCACCACACCTGGCATAATTCCATTTTTAAAACACTTATAAGACTCATTAATGTATATGAAAGTCTTCTAAATATTGTTTAGTATCTAAAATTCGCAACAAACTGACGAGATATTTTTCAGTTGTTTCCCAGTCATACAATCCAGGCTTCAGAACACCTCTGTAGTGACCTTAAGTTTCTCTTGCTTTTTAATCATGATAGATTAAACATTACTCACATTCACATGCACATTGATTATGCTTTGTATACATGTTTCAGCAATGTCACTCAGCTTGTAAGCTGAGAAAATGGATGTATGAAGACCGACATGGTGTCTGTGATAGACCAGAACTAAGAGAAAAGAAGACAGATGGAATTAACAAAGGCTTCAATTCTAACAGGGTTGTTTATATTCACTTGCTTTTGACCTATGATTATCCTCTTTTCTTCAATGCCTACAACAGAAAAATCTGTCAAAATGGTGGTGTGAAAAATCACACTGCAAATACAGGAAGCCTAAAGAATCTGAAAATGTCCTCTCTGAATGGAAGGCCAAGAAAAAAAAACACCGCTGCAGCAGGGTACAGAAAAACACAGGCTCTTCAGCAACTTGTGGCACAATGAAGACAAACCAAATTTACCCAAATCTTAAAAACAATTACCTATTCCAATACAGAATAACAAAAACAAGTTCCCGTGTACCTGGTCAAGTGTGAGTTCTGAATAATAGAAACATCATAGTTGGCATATCTGTGCATTACTAACTATTCTTTGTTTAGGTGCAGTACCAATCCATAATCTATCAGCTGGTTAAGACTAAAGAGGAATTAGAGCAGAGAAGCAGCCAAGCATGGTGTTCCATGCCAGTAACTCAGGAGGCAGTGGCAGGAGAATTGCCAAGTTCCAGGCCTGCCTGGGCAATGCAGTAAGACCCCCGTTTCAAATGAGAAAAAAAACAATTTTATGGAAGTGATCTTCATAGCCTGTACGCCCTGCTGCTCAGGAGAATGAAGCAGGAAGATCACAAGTTCAAGGCCAACCTAGCAAGACACTGGCTCAAAAAGGAAGGGAATCACTCAGCGGTAGAACACTTATCTGATAGGATGGGAAAGAATCTATGTAACCCACCTCAAACTTGCCACTCCTCCCGTCTCAGACTCCTGAGAGCAAGGATTGCAAGTGTGTACCATCACTCCTGGCCCATTAATAGCTTTTCACAGAATGAACTTTCATTAGGATGACTGCACATCTAGCAGAATTTTAGGTTCTAGTCATATTTAAAGTATCTTTAACATTCATAAATTCTAAGTTATTGTTTTAGCCAAAATATCTGCAAAACTAAAATATATCGAGTTATTTCTGTCCAATGTTTCCTTAAGACAAAAACATCAAAAATCAAAAAGGACAGAATGAATGAGTTTACAAATGAATATAGAAGCATACAATAGTATATTTCCTAGCTAGAAGAATTAATACTATTTAAATATAAAATA